AGGTTCCTGGGTTAGTGTTTTTGTTGTATGGTGTGCGGTTGCTTCCTTAGCTCTCGTTGTTCTAACGCCCCTACTCTACTTGCGCTACATTGATGACATCTTCATCATCTGGACCCATGGAAAAGAAGCCATCAAGGAATTCCACCATGATTTTAACAATTTCCATCCCACCATCAACCTCAGCCTAGACCAATCCACACAAGCGGTCCATTTCCTAGACACTACTGTGCTAATAAGCAATGGTCACATAAACACCACCCTATACCGGAAACCTACTGACCACTATACTTACCTACATGCCTCCAGCTTCCATCCAGGACAAACCACACGATCCATTGTCTACTGCCAAGCTCTAAGATACAACCGCATTTGCTCCAATCCCTCAGACAGAGGTAAACATCTACAAGAGCTCTATCAAGCATTCTTAAAACTACAATACCCACCTGCTGAAGTGAAAAAACAGATTGACAGAGCCAGAAGAGTACCCAGAAGTCACCTACTACAGGACAGGCCCAACAAAGAAAATAACAGAATGCCACTAGCCGTCACCTTCAGCCCCCAACTAAAAGCTCTCCAGCGCATCATCAAAGATCTACAATCTATCCTGAAAGATGATCCCTCACTCTCACAGATTTTGGGAGACAGGCAAGTCCTCGCTTATAGACAGCCTCCCAACCCGAAGCAAATACTCACCAGCAACCGTACACCATACAACATAAACACTAACCCAGGAACCTATCCTTGCAACAAAGCCCGATGCCAACTCTGTCCACATATCTATTCAAGGGACACCATCATAGGACCTAATCACATCAACCACACCATCAGGGGCTCGTTCACCTGCACATCTACCAACGTGATATATGCCATCATGTGCCAGCAATGCCCCTCTGCCATACAAATTGGCCAAACCGGACAATCTCTACGCAAAAGAATAAATGGACACAAATCTGACATCAGGAATCATAACATTCAAAAACCAGTGGGAGAACACTTCAACCTCTCTAACCACTCAGTGACAGACTTGAAGGTGGCAATTTTGCAACAAAAAAACTTCAAAAACAGACTCCAAAGAGAGACTGCTGAACTTGAATTAATATGCAAATTAGATACAATTAACTTAGGTTTGAACAGAGACTGAGAATGATTGGGTCATTACACTAATTGAATCTATTTCCCCATGTTAAGTATCCTCACACCTTCTATGGGTCATCTTGATTATCACTTCAAAAGTGTTTTTTTTCCTCCTGCTGATGATAGCTTATCTCAATTGATTGGCCTCTTACAGTTGGTATGGCTACTTCCACCGTTTCATGTTCTCCGTATGTATAAATATCTTCTTTCTGTGTGTTCCATTCTATGCATCCGATGAAGTAGGTTGTAGCCCATGAATGCTTATGCTCAAATAAATTTGTTGGTCTCTAAGGTGGCACAAGTACTCCTATTCTTGAATTAATCATCCACAGTGGAACAGCTTCAACAGAAGCGTCTCTGAGAGCCCCACATCAGAATATCCCACAGGACAGTGGTTAAAGCACTCTCCTGAGAGAGGATTTGAGCAGGGTCTCCCACCTTTCTCCCACTTGGGCAGAAGGGGAAATTAACCCGGCTCTCCCTCATCCCAGGTGAGCACTCGAGCCACTGGGCTAAAAGTTATAAGGTGGGTGGCACCATCTCCTTCTCCTGCCGTTGTGCGCAGATGCCGAAACTCATTTGTACAAGCCATTTCTAAGGCGCTTGAGCCCCCTGACTCTAGGAGACAGGTGCCTTTTCGTGGATACCTAGGCAGAGAGAGGTGCCTCCCTGCAGCCCTGGCACAAGTGCTTATCTCCAAGAGAGGAGTGAGGCTTAAGACACTATTCTCTTGTCAGCATCTCCCATGGCTAGCTTAGGCAGTTCCTTGTCTAGTGTGGTGGCTTTTGTGGATTGCATTCTAAGGCCCCTATCTCTCTCTCTCTCTTCTTTGTATAGGGAGGCTAAGCGCTTAACTCCGGCTTTGGGGATCACGGTGGTGTGCCTGTGATTCTTCTTCAGCGTTGTGACGCCTACGTCCTTTTGTGGATCGGAGACCAAATGTTTTAATATCCGCTGTTAATGGAGGTGGCTGCCTTTATATAAGATACAAGATCTGACGTTGCTTACTGTGAAGTGTATGGTAAATACATCAATCATTATCACTCCAATAGGCAGAGTGGCCAAGGTGTCCATTGTCCTCACCACTGAGTTTTTAATGACGTCTCAGTGAGGAGTCTGTATGTTCTCAGCATGGCAGGCCTGGCTGTTGTTAGTAAGGAGGCCTAGGAGCTGCTGCGAATTGTGTCACCATGTGGAAGTGTCACAGGCATTAGAACGCTCCCAGAAGATGATCGAGATCCAGCTGAGGAACGTCTTTGCTTGCAGGGCTGGCAGCCCAGAGACACGTGCCAATTGGGAGAGTGGCTCAGCAGGTGTAGAACAGACGTACTCAGCAAGGGCTTATTCCCCCTCAAGTGAAAATGTTTATAAAGCTGAGATCAAACGAAAAAAATCATGTACTAACGGGAAACTTTCCCAGACTGGGGTTCAGCCAAGTCAGAGAGCTGAAGGCCAGAAGGGCCCACCAGATCATCTAGTGTGACCTCCTGTATATCACAAGCTACCAACACCATTTGGCACCTACTCACTAAACCCAACAACCTATGACCTGAGTGTGGAGTGCTGACTTCTCATATGCAATGCCCCTCGCTTTTGCAATTAGCTGATTTATGGAACTTCCCCCGAGCACCTGTGCAAGAAGAAGCTGAGTTGAGGTGAAACCCTTATGTACTAGGTAGCTGTTAATGCCGCTGAACCTTGTAAAAATCTGCATCGCTGGAGGGAAATGCTGCATAATTGTACAGGGAGCTTGACAACTGTGGTAAACCCATTTTTAGTTGTATGTTTTACAATGGATATAATTGCACCCATCAGCAAGGGCCAAATGTGGACTGGTGTAAGCAGGTGCAACTTCTTTCCTGTCCCCATGTCTGAATGTGAGGTTGAAAGTGGATGGGGGAGAGAGAGAAGGAGATAGGAGGAGTTAATAGAGAAGAAGGGGGATATTGAAAGGATTGCGTGAGGAAGATGTCGACTGGCAACCTTGTGACTGTTCCAAACAGAAAAACAACTGGACCAGTAACTGTTGTCCCCTACATTATATAATTACAAGCAAACGTTAATGGTGTTAAGCAATTGTGTCAGCAACTAGTGCTTCAAGCGCTTTGCTGACTACTTGGAATAGGAGACTTTATAGACTAACATGGTCCGTCACCTCAGTGTATTGAATTACTAGAATCTGCCTCAGCAGACCTGAAATCAATACACAGCAGCTGCATTGGAGCTGTGCGCACAACACTATTATAAACAATACAGTGTTAGCAGGAAAAAAGACAGTCCTCTCTGGCTTGCTTAAACACTGATGTTTTCAAGTAAGCATTGACCAAGACACAGGCTCCTCTGGCTTTGCCTTGCTCTCCACCATAGTCCTACAGGCCCATAACCTTTAGTGTCAGTGAATAATTGGAAGTAAGACGTGTGGAACTTCTGCAATGCTGTACTGCAGTCGTCAGCTGTCGGGGGACAAGATTACATTGAAGTGGGAAACAGCATTGCAGAACAAATCCTGTTAAGACTCTCTAATAGATCCCAGGGTGTTATCCTGTTGGAATGGCTCAGCAGAATCCAAACAGCTCTGCTGCTGTAAGGTCTGTAGTGTAGACATAGCATGTCTGTAGACATGTTTGAAGACACCATCAGCCCTGGCCACAAGTGTTGATCGACTACAGACAGGCCGTGTGATAATGAGAAGAGGCTGAGCTGACAGAGTGTTTTTCAGAAATAAGCAAAGATATCTGTGTGTGGTTGGTTGGTTGGTTTAAAAACAACAACAACAAAAACAAATCAACCCACTCTGACTTTCACTCTGTTTTGACCCTGGCTGGCAGGCAGCCTTCTTGCTTCAACAGCAAGAACCTTTTTGGGTCCTTATCTTGCAAGACCCTCATGGTATGGACACACTGGAGAGTACCCATGAACTGATCTTAGCCCTTTGCTGCTCGTGCTATAGTTCTCCTGTACAGCGGGGATGGTGCTGTGTGTGTGTGCGTGAAATAACTTACCTCTTGCTGAAGGCAACTTAACTGTTGCTGGGCCCTCTGGAAACACAGCAGGCAAATGGATATGTTTCCACTTCCATCCTGTAGGAACAAAGGGTGATGATGATTATATCCTGATTCAATTGCTTGGGGACACATTTCTTGAACCCATAGTGGTTTCCTATGGTTTGTTGTGGGTGCTTGTGAACAAAGCTTATACTTGTGCATAAACTCTCGGTAATGTAAGATGATTCTGTACTTTACACAAGTATCTTGGATGGATAAGGTTTTCTCAGCCACAGTTGAAAGGCACAAAATGTAGATTTGGTTTAGAGGGGGGGGAAAAAAAAGCTTCAATAGGAATGTCTTCATGAAACTACTCTTTAAAATTCCAGCGAACCCTGTATGCATTCCCCAGCAGTGTTTGCAACCCAAGCATTGCAGCAGTGTGATTGTGTATGAGACCCTAACAATGAAACGTAGGCTTTGTCTACACTTAAAACTTACACCAGCATAGCTCTGTTGGTCAGGGGTGTGAAAAAGCCTCACTCCCTACCGACACAGCTATGCCAACAAAACCCCCAGTGTAGATGCAGCTATGTTGACAGAAGACTCAGGGAGGTAGTGTTCCTACACTGGCAGCAAAGCCCCCTCACTTGGTATAAACTGCCTCTATACTGGGGGGCTCCGCGGGTACAGGGTCTGCAGCATAGACCTAGCCCCACTCTGCACAAATGTGAAACTGACTAGTGTATTATTGTCCATGCTGAGTGAAGTGCAAAATGTAAATAACCTGCATCAGTAAGTACATTTTGTATCAATCTTGCATGTTGTCAGTAACAAAATGAAGGTGATTTGATATTTACAGTGATTTTTAGCTGGTAGTATTACCTTTCAAGGTATGTGATTTACACAGCAAATGTGAATCACTGCTTTAGATGAACCAGTTGGTTTTTTCAAGGCACAGCCCCACATAGGAGGGAGTTGTAACAATAGCCACTGAAATAAATTGATTCTGCCCCCTTGTTCTGTAACAAGGGTATTAACCTTTTGTAACCATGACCCTTTAACATATACACAGAATTTATTCTGAGACAAGCCTTGGAAGGTTTTGACAAAGAGGAAGGAGCTGGGAATTCCATTGTGGTGCCTCTTACCTGACCTCATATATGCTGATGACATAATACTCTTTGCTACCACCACTGATGCAATGCAACAAATGTTGTAGTCTTTGAAAACTGTTAGTGAGGATATGGACTATTTCTGAATGCGACAAAACAAAATGCATGTATGGTGGCATGACTAACAAAAATGAGACGCATGCAGACATCACGATTATGGACAAGCTGTAAAGGCAGTACATGAATTTAATTATCTGGATCATATATATCCAATCAAGGAGGCTGGGTTCCAAAGAAATCAGAAGAAGTAGGGATGACTTCTCAGATATGGCCTCCTTTAAGAAAGTGGTTGGGGGGGGGGGAAATGTGGCATCTTGAAATTGGTGAAAAGCCTAATTTTTTTCCATAGTGATTTATGGCTTTGAATCATGGGAAGTTAATGCTGCTGACAAGAAGAAAACTGAAGCTTTTGAAATGTGGTGCTGGTGAAGACTCCTGCATATCTCCTGGACAGAAAAATATATGAATGCTGATGTTTGAAATATTATGGGAGAGAAGCAGACCCTGATGTTGGAGATCAACAGATGCAAACTTTTGACAAGGTTTTGTGTAGAAATAGAAATAACCTTGTGAAAGTTTATTATCGAAGGAGTGGTAGAGGGTCATTGTAGTAGGGAATGACCAGCAAGGAGATGGACGGATCATTTGCAGATCACTGGAAGGTCAGTTGCTGAGTGCTCGAAGTTAGCAATCGTGAAGGCTTCTGAAAATTCTGCTGTGATGTTACCTATATTTGGACTTACTTACTTTTAACAAGGACTCATTTCACGTGGCTGGGGCCTGGAAATAAACATTTTCTTAATACAGCAGAGTGGAGGCAGATTGCTGCATGACAAACTTCTGGAGAGACCCTGCTTTACTCAGACACAAAGCTTCTTGGAGTTCTGGGGAACATGACTAATCCATCACTCTGTAAAGATGCAGGGTGCACTTCCTCTCCATCCCCACCTAGCTGAACTAGCCAATGAAGGAGTAGCCTCACCTGACTGAGCCTCTCCTGGTGAGATTTTCACTCAAATTTTTCAAATGAGATTGGCTTGGGGGATAACAATCCAAACTCCATGGAGCTTATCTGAAATGAAGCTTTGATTGTGTCCTTCTGTCAGCCTCAGCGCCATGAACTTGGCTATAACTGTCTACGCAGGCCTTCCAGCTGCACAGCACAAGCTCCCAATGCCATGCACAAAGAACAGCCCTTCTCAGCAAAACAGCTTGTACCACTATGAGGACTTCCTGGCTTTTATGCTGTGTCTTGCGGTCTACCTGGGTCCTCCTTTAGCAAGGAGGGGAAGCACCAGGCAAGTGTGAAGGCACACAAGTATATATTCAGTACCATCAGCAGCTGACATGAACTAGTCACCAGGTCCCGGTGCATGTCATCCAGGAGAAATCATTTGTCTGACAACAACCCTTGCAGTATGTTGTACCCAGCTGTAGCGTGCACTTACAAGTCAATGCCACCTGTTAGGCTTATGTCAGTGTCATCGCAGTACCCAGGCCGACCTTATTCTTTCAGCTAGGTATTCTAAAAATGCAGCACTGATTCTAGAGGCCATGTGGGCAGAACACAGCTCAAGAGATGTATCCAATCAGCACTTCTCAAAATTTCCATTTGCCTGAAAAATCCCTCTGTGACCAGTTGGTGGTGGTTGCCAGTGAAAGGATAGAACCTTCTACCACCAGGCTGGGGCACTGATTCAGTACTGACTCAGAGGGAAGATTTTTGAGGAAAAGCCAGAATGCAGCAAAAATGTTAGTGGCTCAATAGGTAGCAGTTTCCTATTCAAGCACTGACACATTGATTTCAGGGGAACAGTGTTATGCTCACATTGGACGCGTTTGCAAATCCCAGCCTAGTAGCATTGGTACTTTAATTGTAATGACTATCGCACCTACAATTGTAAAACTCATAAGGTACTAGTTGAAAATATTGCTCTGCCTCTTGTATCTGTACAGTATTTATTTCCTTGGCACTCAACTGTTTTAAAAGGTAGACACTTGCCATCTTCATGTTCACCCTTTCAAACAGCACATTTCTGAAAACTCTCATTGACTTCAGAGGGAGCAGAGTTGGGCCACCATGGACCATTTTTGAAAATCCTTTCCTAATACTGCACTTTTCCTGTGAATATTTTTGAGCAGCCCATAAATGCTGAATAAGCCTCACAACAGCCCTGTGAGGTAAGTAAGTATTGTACCCAATTAACAGATGGAGAGACTAAGGCACCAAAAGGTTAAGCACTTGCCTAGGTCAATAGTGGAGCCAGAATATAATGCCAAAGTTCAGAACTCCACTTCCATGTTTTAACTACTAGAAAACATTGTCTCCTTTCATTAGCATTTATTTTGGTGTGATACTGGTCTTTCTAACCTTTTTGTTGTCAGCTAGAACATTTGGTGTGCATCTGCAAGTTAGGGTGACGTTCACTGATCAAATTCAGCGAAAGAATTCTGATTTACTGGAGCTCCCCAAGTTATCACGTACTTTTGCACCCAAACTACGGAGGATTGTTAAAAGCAAACTGCTGCACGCTGTCACATTCACTGTAAAGAAGCCAAGAGATTTCTGCATGTCAGATTTCCAGCTGGTGACAAGAGGGGGATTCATCGCTACAGTATAATTCCAGTTATCTGTAGAACTCACAGATGTGGATACCCAAAGACCATTTTTGCAGATCACGGCTGCATGCGGATCCAAATTTTATACCCAAAGCACTGCAAATCTGTGGATCATTGTTGCGGATCACAGACTGGATGCGGATGCAAAATTTGTAGGGCTCTAATTATCTGAATCCACAGTGTGTTCCTTTGTAGCACTATGTTAGGTTACAGCCCTTCCATCCATCCGAACGCCTGTTAGCGAAAAGTTTCCACTTTCTCCCCACCCCCCATACATTTGGATAAACGGGAGTTTACTGTATTGGGGTTGCAGTCTAGCTATTCCTCCAGTAGCAGGTCAGACAAGAAATGTACCCCTCCCCTTCATCATCTGTGATTCCACATAACCACCCCATCCTCTGTAATCTTCGCTGCTGTGCTGCCACTAGGGGATGTGCCAGAGTTTGAGAGATAGCGGTGCGGTTACTGCCAGCTGATGTTCATCATGAAATGTCCTTTAGAACTGGCTATGGTGAAAAAGAGAGGCAAGCTGCACACTTTTTTGCTTACAGACGATACTAGCTGATTTTCTAAAATATATATCTTCAGTTGCCAGCATCTAGATATATTTCCCACTTGGGGATGATGGATAGCTCCAGCAGTTAGAAATTATTGGCAAAGGGAGCAATGTTTGTGGTAATTCACTGCATTACCATGTTGGGAACTTGGGTTCAGTTCCTGGGCTTGACTGCTTACTGCCTAAGGCTTCAGTCCCGCAACCATTTACGCATGTGCTTAACTTTAGACATGTGAGTAGTCCTATTGAATTCAATAGGATTACTCATGTGAGTAAAATTAAGCATGTGCTTAAATGTTTGCAGGATCAAGGCCTAAGTCTGCAGGAACTGATGATGTCACTCTTCTTTGAAAAGAGGGGGACAGTCTTGTGTTCACCACCACTCGCTCCTCAGGCCCATACAGGTGTGACATTCAAAAGGAATCCTCTTCGGCCAGGGGATGGTAGCTGCAGCACTGGTTCCTTGAGAAGGCAGGGGGATTAAAGTGTCTGTGTGCGAAAGTCCTTCACGTTTCACAAGGATGCAGAGGAATGTTGCTAATTGGTTTGGCGGTGGGCTATGTTATCCATCCACCTTATGTTGCCCTTAAAACAATTGGCTTCTACACTACACATTATAAACATTGCTCAGCTCCGAGATCTAACCAAACGATGGTGGGTGAAGTTACTGCTACCTCAGCAGCAATCATGGGTCTCCTACCTGCAGACTTGGATCACTTGATGATTACCTGTTCTGTTCTTTCCCTCTGGCATTGGCCACTGGCAGAAGACAGGATACTAGGCTAGATGGACCTTTGGTCTGACCCAGTATGGCTGTTCTTATGTTCTCTTTTCCCTTTCTTACCCAAAGGGAAAACAAAACTGCAATTCCTTTCTCCTACCTCCCCCTAGCTAAGCTGAAATAGACAGACACCCTAGGTTACTGTGTCCCCATAGTGCTGCAGCTGTCCCAACCATCCAAAGTGGGCCAGATGGGACAGCTCTCTGTAACACAAACTGGCTGATCTACTGCACCCTACCTTCTGGGGTCTGAGGGAGAATTTGGTCCATAATCTTATAAGGTTACAACTGCCATTACACACATTAGAATAGCTACCACCGTGAAGGCAGAGATATACATGAAGGCCTACCAGTGCTTGTAAAAGGCCTGACAAAGAACAAAAAGCCTGCCAGTCACTACTAAGAAATGTTGCCCTCAGGAAATTAAAAACGTGAACATCGTGGCATACACAATAAATGTCTCCTTTGTAACTGCATATTCAAGAATGAACGAAACTCTGGCATCCTTAAAAAAATAAAAATAAATAAATAAATCAGAGGTGGTTTTCAACCATCCCCCAATTTTTTAAATACTTGTGAATAGTCATTACAATTGGAACAAAATATATAAACGTTGGTTCAAGTCATGCAACTTTACATAAGTAGTTTCAAATATGTAGTCCTACTCACATGAGCAAAGTGTTACATACAGGCATGTTAGCAGGATTGGGACATAGGTGTAGAATCAGGGCTTTAGAGACAATTTTTGGATATGTCTTCACTGCAAAGTGAAGGTGTTACTGTAGCACAGGTAAGCACAGCTGGACTGACTTTAATTAAGCTAGCACAGATAACAGTAAGAGTAAAGACATGGTGACATAGGCTAGCAACAAGAGTATGTACCCAGGGTCCCTGATGGACTCATGCTTGGGTTGCTAGCTTGTGTCGCTACATCTTTGCTACTATTGTTTCCTGTGCTAACTTGTTTAAAGCTAGCATGGGTATGCCTACTTGTGCTACAATCACACCTTTGTGGTAAAGACACACACAACATGTCAGATTAAAGGGATACATTCAATTTAGTTATTTATCAAACTTCTTTCCCTATGTTACTAATAACTTCTTAGTTTATGAGGTGAAAGAATTTTGAGTGTCCTATTTACTGGTCACTCTTTGTGCTCCTCATTTACTCTTTGAATTTTGTTCAGCTCAGACAGTGAAAATCGATGTTTCACTTTTTGTTTATAGACAGTTTCACTTTCAGGGTTTGAGTTTCAGACATGCTAGGAAATGCTTATGTTCAAAATCAATTATATTAATTAATCAGGCAAATATTTCTCTTGGTCTCAGGTTTTCATTATAAAATGTAAATGTTGAACAATATTTAAAGGGACACCATCAACTTAAAATCAGTCTGATTGATTTGTAACCTACCCTTGTTACAAGTGATGCCTCAGATTAGAGAAAAAGAGAACAGAAAAATATTTTTCCTTTAAAAGATCTGTTTACATTGTGCATTTGATAACACACGGTAAAACAGACAGCCCCCTGTTGTTTATGTGGGTTTTCACACTGCAGCAGGGGAGAGAAAATAATGGAGAAAAAATAAGAAAATGTGCAGGTAAAGCCAGGAAAATTCGCAGGAGCGAACTAAGAAGCAGGTGTAGTTCCTTTAACTACTTTTAACTCGCTTATTCAGATAGACTAGATTGCAAGCTGACAGTGTCCATTGAAATGGTTTGATCAGAGAGAAAATACCTAATTAAAATAGCGTGTGATGGGGGTTTGTTTTTTGGTCTGACACCTCTGGAATCGCGGGGGGGCTGAATAATCTGCAACGTGCGCTCTGCGACGACCTGATGACACACACCTGCGATGGGGCTGAGACGGCAGTAGCCTCATTTGTGCTCCCCAGATTGGGTAGCTGGGTATGTTTTCCCTCTCTCAGTTGACAAACAAAGCAGGCGATGATACAATTATCAAAGGCAAAACTCAGAGGCATCGCTCCCTATAATCGTGCGAGCTGCGCCTGGTGTAATCAGCTCAGTATAGCCTCTCTGGCAGCGGAGACTGGTTTCAGGCCCTCAGTCGCAGCTCCCGTTTAGACACAAATGGTCCATGCGCTTCCCACGGAGAGACCAAAGCGCTCTTTGTCTCTTCCTCCCTCCCCCGGCTCCCCCTTGGAATTCTCCGGGGTGCACCCTCCTGCGATGCACAGGGCTCCCCAAATTAACCCCCCTGCACGGGGCAGAAGAAAATCACGCCCAACCCTGGGGGAAAGGCTCATCCGGCTGCTCTTACCTGCTCAGCTGTGGGAAACAGAGTGACTCGGATACAGCCTGGAGCCGGACTGTACTACCTCGGGCACCTCCTGCCGGGAATCGCAGCCCCGGCGGCACGCAGCTAGGATCTCCCCGCAGGACAGCCCCCGCCCCCCCGGGGGGACCCGGTAGCAGCTCGTGCGCCCTTAGCCAGAGGCTTCGCGAAGGGAGAAAGGAAATTAACTATAGTGTCACTCCCCTGGCTTCTCCTGCCACTTAGTACGATCCCCACCCCCACGCTGGGAACCGCAGCTCCCGTGGCTACACTAAGGGCAGTAGAAAGCCACAGTCCCGTGCCATGGGCCAGGAGAGGATCGTCTGAAGCAGCACTAGCCAGGGGCACGGCGAGGTGTTTCCTTTGCTCCCCTCTCTCACTGCACCCCCCTCCCCATCCTTGTTCCCGCACAAGCACTGATGGAGCACATTGCACATCAATGTCTAGCCTTGTAAAGCCCTCGGTCTCGCCGCTGCTCGCTGCGCTGTACCCACAGCACTTCTGGAGTGGGGGCGGGGGCCCTGTACAGACTTGCAGAAGAAGGAAAAAAAAGGCCCCCTCGCCTCCTCAGCAGGTTGCTCCGGTGCCGGGATGCCAGGCTGGAGGAAGAATCTGACCCTGTGTCTGCAGAGAATGCAGGAGGAAGGTAAGGCTGGCTACAGCACGAGGGGGGAATGCTACGGGGGTTGGGGGGGGGGTATTGGACTGCCCTGAGAAACTGCCTTGGAGTTTTTCATGGGGTTGTAAGGGCGGGGGGGTTGTCTGTTTCTTTGTCTCTGGAGGGATGCTTGAAAATGCAGCCTCTCTTTTGAGGCCCCTGTTTGAACTGCGTGTTTACAATTGTTCTGGTAGGGAACCCCCCCCCCCCCCCC